TGAGCGACCTCTAAATATTTTTTGATTTCAAAATAAAAAAATAGGGGAATACTTTTTTCGGTATATAGAACAATCCTAGTGGGTGAGAGCATTAAAATTCCGACTTTACTTATTTTGGACAACCTTAATATACACGTATGATGAATATTTATGAAGAAATTAATATTCTATATGTTTCAGGTGATGATCCCATGATGCTATGGGTCATCGGTAGTACCATTTTCACAATGATTGTCTATTGGTTAGTCGGTGGCATTTATATTTTCATGGATTTGACTAACCGTCCAGCATTCCTGCGCAAATACAAAATTCAGCCGGGCACTAATGAGCCGGTCGAAACCGAACGTTTAATGAAGGTAACTCAACTTTTATTATAATACATTTTATATTTGGGTGTTGCAGAACATCTTTTTGTCGAATTTCGATATGCTTAGACTTTTACGAAATACTGTAGGATAACGATTACCCGTATCGACTTGAAGTTTAAATTTTGGCTAGGAGCTTGTACTGAAATTAACATACCGTACGAAAGTTGCACATAACTGTGCTATATATGTATGCCCATTAAGGTAGTCCAAAAATACATGCGGGGAAAAAATTTAAAATGTTAAGCTTTCACCCCATAGGATTTTTAAATGGAAAAAATAATACCCGTATGTTTAGAACTACCTCACAACATACTTTTTCGTAAAAATGGTATAGAATTCTTAAAATCAATATTTTTCGATCGGAAAGCCCTGTTTCTCTTTAGGAGACTTGCAATAACAGTTATATGTCGTTTTTTTAACCATTTTTTAATATGAAACATATTTTATAGGCCTCCAAAAACCCCAAAAAATGCATTGGGGAGACCCATAAAAAATTGTTGGTATTATAAAATGGTAAAATAAAGAATTGGGTATTATTATTGCATGGAAGCAACCGAATTTTCCTATCGAAAAATATAGATTTTCAACAATTCTAAACTATTTTTACGAAAAATAGCTAAAGCTTGCGGCGTTGTTGTTGAAACAGCATAAAAAGTCATTGCAACGAAGACTAGGGCGTCTATATATGTACATACCTATATAGACCAGTGGGTCTACTGGACACACAGCTCTTCACAACACCTCATGAAGCCCTAGAGACACAATAAATTTCAAAATAGATCTCGGGCATAGGGAGCGTATATCCTCTTTTGGCCACATATGTATGCCCTATACTCCTCTTCCTTCTACGTGAAATGGCCTCATAGTGCAGTAGGAGGTGTAGCTCCATGATTTTAATAAGGGCGTCTAACAGGCTACCGCTCTTCCAGACAGAATTGGGCTTAAACATTATTTAATAAACAGAGAGGTTTTACTATCAGTTCACGGAGATCGACTTAAGCCGCAACTTCGAAATATCTCACAAAAAGGACAGGGAATCTAACACCGTTTCAAGCACTGACAAAATTTCAGTATTCACAGGTTTTGGATCCTAATTGGACATAGAAATGGGATCTGACATACAGACCTCCAGATTGCTGCAATATTTTTCAGGCTGCGATCTAAGCAAAGTTTGTAAGCATTATGGACCTTATTCACACAAAACTCGCCTTACTTATAAAAATGTCAGGCTGCGATCAAGACCCTGAAGTCGGCAGGCACTAACTTGATATAAATTAAGGAATGTCGTAAAATCTTTTAGACATCACATCGTCACTCTTTACTGAGTCCCAAAGCATAGTTGAATTTCGGAAAATAAGGAAACTGACGAGTACGCGGAAGAAGTTAGAGCATATTTCTACCAGGAAAAAGCTTCTTACAAAAAACCATCTGCCGTTCGGAGACGGTGTTAAATCGAAGGTCCTTCTATTCGTTTGATAACTTTAAGAAGCACTCCTCAAATTAGAGCAGAAGCTCGACCAAACCCTTAGCAAAAAGGCAATTTACACAAGTCAACTGCTGAATTCAACTAAAATTTGTCTGTAAATTCGCCGCATGTAAATTCCCTACTAGACAAAAAAAAAACATATAGAGGCTATGCATACCGAATATCGCTAAAAAAAAAAAACTTCTTTTGCTCTGTGGCACTATACTTGACAATAATATGGTCTCTTTTCCTTCACTCGCAGGTTATGTGGCGCGTAATAAGCAATCAGCTATTTGTTGGTATTCCATTCGCTTTTCTCAGCTATAAACTAATGACATTGCGTGGCCTCAACTCAATACGCGAATTGCCAACATTCCACTGGGTTTGTGTAGAACTGACCGTGTGCATTCTAATGGAAGAGTTAGGCTTCTACTATTCCCATCGACTGTTGCATAATAAACATATTTATAAATTTATACATAAGCAACATCACGAATGGACAGCACCAATAGCGGTTACGGCAATCTATTGCCATCCCATTGAGCATATCTTTAGCAATTTACTGCCTCCATTTCTGGGCGTTTTTCTAATGAACACACACGTTGCCACGGCTTGGATGTGGTTTGCTCTAGCCATCCTATCGACACTCAATGCGCATTCCGGTTATCATTTGCCCTTCTTTCCCAGTCCAGAGGCGCATGACTTTCACCATTTGAAGTAAGATTTACTTAATAAAATAGCAAAGCCATTTTGTAACAGCTATTTAATTATAAATTTAAAAAAAAATTAATCTTTCAGATTCAACAATTGCTTCGGCGTGCTAGGTGTTTTGGATCGTCTACATGGCACTGATATTTTATTCCGAGCAACTAAGTCGTACACGCGACACATTATGATGTTGAGTTTCGTGCCACCGCGTGAGGCCTTCCCGGATTCATCAACTAAATAAAATTATTTATAAAATTCAAGTGGGATGCATTTTTCAACTTGGTTTTAATATTTGGCAATACTTGTAGATTTAAGTTGCAATCTTTAAATTTATGTGATATGAATGTATGTATGTATAAATGTAGCTAAATAAGGCAATAAGATAAATATTAATAATCTGAAATAGTCATTTATATACTTTATTGCATCGGAAATTATAAAGGAGTGAAACCTTTCAATGAAATGGTACGTAATTGCAGTCAACGAGCGGAACTTATGGCTTATAGACCTGGCCAAGGGCGCATGAGTTCAACTTCAGAAGGGGCTCTTACTCCTTTATCGGATTTAGCGATCCAAAAGGAGGCAATGAAGGCAAAATGTCCACAGCTTTTTTTTTATCTTGTGACGCGACGATCGACATTCTGGCCACAGAGAGTAGTTTAGAAGTTTGTCGAACGTATTACCTGAAGTCCCTTTCGGCAGAATGCACGTCGGTAATTTTTCAGACACTATCTTGGGGTATTCGGTAAAAACTTTATATACCGACGGGCAAAATAGTGAAAATGGAACTGGAGCCGGATGAAATCTGGAGGCTAACTTCTGATGGTTCCCTACTTTAGGTAAGATGACCACGCTCATTCAATCGGAAATTTTTGCAATGCTTAAAGTAGCAGACAGGATAACCAGCGAAAGGTGGCGTGAACATCAACTCATCGTCTTCAGTGACAGCCAATCTGCACTAAAGGCCTTGTAAACTGATCACACCTCTTCAAAAATTATGCAGGAATGTAATTTGAGGCTGAATCTCGTTAAAAATTGGAATACGCTTTAACTTATGTGGGTACCGGCACACTGTGGTGTCCACGGCAACGAACTGGCTGATGCTTTGGCACGTGTAATTCAACCGGTGTCAAATTTTAGGGCCAAACAAAGCGGTAACTGTCAGGTATACACATCAGAGATCTCATGACTGAGGCTCATAGGAGTTGTACGGTGGTACGGGTACGTTTAGGTTGCAGAACAGTGCAAGAAATAACACACTCCACACGGCCTTAGAGCCGCTCTAAGGTTGGACTGCACTCCATATTTTGGTCCAAGTAGCAGTAGCTTCGAGGAACTTGCAAATGCTTAATTCTGAAAGTGCTATTAAAAAAAAAATTCACAAACATATCTGTGAGCATAATACCAGGTCTGGGAATCTGCGAGTTCTGCGACGCTATGCCAAGGAAATCTGCTTTGAAAGAAAATTCAATGTCAAAACTGCAGACCGAGATGTCGGGTCAAGCGGATTATCTTAACTAGATCCCAAATTTATACACTGGTATGCAGACGGATCGAAGATGGATGGCACAACACGAGCGGGTTCCTTTAGACCTGGCACCAAATTTTCTATTGCAATTGGTACTTGGTCTTCGGCCGAAATACTAGAAATCGCAATTTGTACCAGACGAAGGTAGAAGGGTTTAAAAGGCGCCTTTCAAGTTATCTGTTCCGACATCCAGGCAGCCATAAGGGCCCTATCCAATAGGACGATCTCCTCCAGGCTCGTCAAGGAGTGCTTTGACACTTTCCAACTATGATGGGTAAACTCAGAATGCAGTAAGTACTGGACAGAAGTTGGAGGTCTTAGAGAGTCCAGAATTTTTGGTTATCCTTTTGATGGGAAAGATATAAATCTCTTCAAAGTCAAGTTTCTGTTGCATACATTACAATGAGACGAGTCTTGCGAAATTCGGGAGATTCTACAGAGAATTTGCAGAATACATTTGCGACGGCGAGTCTCGAAGAAGATGGGACAATAAACTATATGATCCTTACAAGGATATGGACATTTTAATATGCAGCGGCTGCTCCTGCTTGGTCTTGTGTTACGAATGGAGTTAATTGAGAGGGAATTGGAGAGAATTTTTTCTTACTGCATAGCAAAAATATATGGATGCGCAGTATGCAGTATGTGCGGGATCGCAGCCATTACAACTCTCCAATTTGAGCGCTCATACTACTTTTCGAAATCAACCCTGCATAGTGTTGCTATCTGAACTAGTGATGTCAGTGCAAAAGTACATCGATGTTTTTTTTTGATTCGATGCATCGAAATGTACATCGGTATTTTTCGATGCATCGATTTGCATAGAATTTTTTAGATAAAATTTCACAAAAAAAATGTATTATTAGTAAATTGTAGAAAATTTGAAATAAATCACTGCAACTTTATCCATTTAAATTTTTGGGTCAAAGTCACACCCCCTTTTTGTACAATTGAAAAACTGGAATGACGTTTCGATACCAGAGATGTCAGTTAAAAGAAAAAAAACATCTATGCATCGTCGCATCGATAGACTATTTATACATCGAGTGGAAATTTTTCGATGCATCGATGTTTTTCAGACGTCACTAACCTTAATCAGCTGGTTGCGAAATATACCCATTGGTTTTGATAAAAACGAAAATAAAGAAATTTTTTGGAAATCTGGTTAAAGAGGCGACTGTTCGTCAATTTCTGCGATTATTTTTGTTTTATACATTATCTTTCGTGAATGCAGCTCAAAGTGATAAGATCTCGGTTATGGCATTAAAAGTGATTTCGCTATTTTTCGCATGTTATCTGCAATTGTTGCTGCATCAGCAATATCCAAATTTGGTTGCTGGCGAAAGTGTTGAGAGTACAACGTCATCATTGCCAAATAATGGCTCTAATATTCCCATAATAAAGTATCAAATTACAAATACGCCTAATGTCGGCAAGAGGTTACTTCAGGATGTGATAAATGGAACTACAGGCAAAGAAACTGGTGATAAAGTGCAGAGTCGCAAAATAACAAACACGGAAAATGTACCAAAACCGACAGAAATGCAAGACTCCTTAAAGGGAGATATTGTTGCACCAGGATCATCAATAAATTCCAATCAAACCGGTCCAAATTTAGTTGAGATCGCACCAAGTATAGTTGTAGATATGAATACCCTTCAATCTAATAGATCAAATTCAATTAAGTATAATGCCACTAAAAGTGACAACATTACTACAGGTAATCAAAACTATACCAATGAAGGCATTTCCATAAATTCCACAAAATCTTGGAATTCAACAAGCGTAGTAAACAAAACTGTAACAACTACACTTGCACCCGCAGTTGCCAAAAATGATGTTGTTGCGCATATTGGTAATGATTCCCTCGAAGTAAGATCTACAAAAAGCACAATCACAAACACTACAACTACGACCAAAATAATGCCAACAACGACCAAAACAAAACCAACAACAACAACAACCACTACCACACCGAAACCCAAAAAACCAAGCATAACATTTGGATTAGGCGATTTTCCACATTTGCCAGGAGAACCATTTGTTAACAATAAAAAGCCAGAATCATCTAGCTCTAAATTACCAGAATTAAGCGAGCCCGTCGTACTACCAGATGCGCAGCCATCACAAGAATTAAACAACGGATTCAATTATCACAGCAGCCGCGATATTATTGTACCTATTATGACAGTCCTCTTCACAATACCATTGGCAATAGGAGTGGTAATTACCACTTACCGTCGCTTCCGCGATTGTTGGTCAACGCGACATTATCGCCGAATGGATTTCTTGGTCGATGGCATGTACAACGATTGACAACAGATTACCGAAGAATGTACCGATGATGCGGTGCAGAAGTATGATGCGGGGGCAGAAGTTGAAAACGCTGTAGACGTTGCTCAGCAATTAATGCAGTAGCGCACAATTATAACAATTTAAAGAAGTTGTAGTATTTTTAAGAGTGAGATTCACTATAAGTTTATACGAATTTTCAATGTACTTTGAACATATTGATGCGTGTACTATATATTTCAGAAAAAATTTTAAATTGCTTTAAGTCTTACACTTAATGAATGCATTTAATTTAAACGTGAAAAAGAAAAATGTCACACTTAAGAGCATGTTATATCTAGATTTCAAAATTTGTATGTGGCCAAATTTTGTTCGTAAGATCTTTTCTATAGAATTATGGTACATACTCGTAATTGCGGATATTGAATTTTATTACGAAAATCAATGATATACATAGTAATACAAATCATAAGTTCTAAGGATATTTTGCAAAGCAAACTCTCATGTAATCATTTTATTTATGTATGTACGTGTAGTACTCAAACCTTGCAATTATTATTAAAAAAAAATTTTTCTTTAAGCTTGAAAACTGAAAAGGCATTCAATTGAAAGAAGCATTTATGCAAATTATGAACAACCGTTATCGATTCGCCACTTCTCTGTCCGCTATGTTTGAGTTCCGGTCGCTAAGCGAAAAATTTTGCATCTGAAAGCAACAACAAAGTTAGCTAGCGAGTTGTTTTTTTGTTTGGTTGTACCACATTGAGTTCGTTCGTTTCGCCACTAACTAACTGTTGGCGAATCGATGACGGCTAATATATACTTTGAACGTTAGATAAGCTAGATATACCTATTTTTCCAAATGACCCACATTATTTGAAAATTTAGACTTTAAATTAGGCTTCCATATACTCCCAATTTCATTGTTTTTCGGAATCAAAATAATATTGTAATCATTTCTATTTATGCGACAATAATTTTAGAAATTAAATTTTAATACATACATATGTAGGTATGTATGTATTAAAATTTAATTTCTAAA